CATTTTCATCTCCAGAATTAAGGATTATTTTGATGTTACATCATTGCCTTTTCTCTTTTACTTTCCTTTTTAGTTTTATTTTAGGATTCCCTATTTTTAATGTTCATACAGAGATTTCTTTAACTGAAATACTGAATAGTTTCTTTTGTGTGAAAAACTACAATAGTACACAGGATCCTAATGAGATAATTAATAATGTGAAATAGGAAGTAAAGGGCTAAAGGTGTAGGGAAAGTGGGAAAGGTGGGGGAAAGGTAATAAGGGAGAGGAAAAAAATATGAGAAACTGAAAAAATGGAAATAAAGTGTTTGTAAATGGGGAGGGGAGGAGGGGGTGAAGAGAGGGCAGGGACAAGGGGAAAAATGAGAATCAAGACCTATTATGTAAAGGTACAGAATCCCAATGATGAATGTAATTGTATTGTATACCTAGATTGTACCAATAACCTCAATAAAAAGAAAAAAAAATAGAAAAAGAATTGAAAAGAAAAACAAGAGGGAAAACTCTGAAACACACCACCCAAGAGTCACATACACATGTCCATTTTATGGCTGAGGTGTCAGAGAAAACCCCACATTTTAATAATTGAATATATTTTGAAATTATAAAAAGTTATATATGTAACACAGGCAATTTTGGATAAAAGAGTTAATTCTCAATACCTTTAATCTCCCCAGCACGTGCCCGTTTGTACAGGCCTTTGACATCTCTGCTTTCACAAATATTTAGAGGTGCATCAACAAATACTTCAAAGAATGGCAGTCCTGCCGATTCATGGATTTTGCGGGCATTTTCACGATCCTGAAAAACAGTGTGTTTAAGAATGTAAAGAAAGGTTTGCATGTGTGCCCCAGATTTCATGTGTTAGAAACCTAATCACAGACTCCTCTGTTATTGGTATTTGGAGATGGACCCTTTGGAAAGTAATTAAAACTAAATAAGGTCATTAGGGTAGAAACTCCCTGCAGTCAGTAGTTTTATAGGAAAAAGAACCCTTCACAGACCACTTGCTTTGTCTCATCATGTGATCCCCTCTGCCTTTCTAAGATGCAGCCAAAAATCCCTTACCAGACACCAAGCAGACATTTGTGCCATGCTCTTGGGCTTCTCAGCCTTTAAAATTATAATCCAAGTAAACCTCTATTCTTTATTAATTAGTGGTATTTTGTTACAGCAATAGAAAATGGATTACGGCAAAATTTCTTTGTCACAAAATATGAGTGCTCTGGCACTCGATATGTTGGAGAGAACACTGGGGTTTATGCTCTGAAGAGTACCTTTATAAAGTCCGGAAATGCCACTCTGTGAAACACACCTCTCTCAAGAACTTTCAGTCAGGTGTGGTGTTGCACACCTGTAATCCCAGCACTCTAGGAGGCTGAGGCAAGATGATCACAGTTGGAGCCATCATAGGGCAATTTACTGCCTTAGCAGCACTGTCTCAAAATAAAAATCTCAAAAGGCTGGGAATGTAGCTCAGTGCAACAGGCCTGGGTTCAATCTCAACCCAGATCCCCCCTGACCACCAAAAAAGAGCCACTCAGAGAAATCACCAAAAACAGCCCCTCTTAGCAGGACAGCACGGGCCACACAGGACAATTTCATTCATAGGCTGTGTTCAAAGCACACAGCACATTATCTGTAACTCCCAGAACTTTCTAGTTTTAAAACAAGAGTGAGACAACACCCCAGTGATGACCACATTAAATACATATAACCCAATGCCTTGCAGTGAATTGTGTTTTTCTTTGATGAGTTAAACATTCTTTTTCACACAACTGAAATTACAGAGCTTTACAGTTCTTGTTTAACTTTTCCTTCCTTTCAATTCTGACCAAGTGTCCCTTGTAATTGTGAATGTGAAAAGGCTTATGTCAACCAAAGCCCGGACATCGGGAGATGAAGGAACTTTCTTTAAACAGCTAATAGTAAACAGAGGAAATGACAGTGCACACTGGGGAGGAGGAACTGATGAAGAAACTGAAAGTACAATATTCCTGTGCACCTTTCCCTTCACCCCAGTTCTATCCTTAGCAGTTTCGAGAGTTGCAGTCAGTGCCAAATCCTTCTACCTTTGTGAATGGAGAAATGAAGCTGGTAATGCAGACGAGACCAGCATCAGCAAACAGCTTGGCCACCTCAGCAATCCGGCGGATATTTTCCTCTCGGTCCCCAGGAGAGAATCCAAGGTTTTTGTTAAGGCCATGACGGACATTGTCCCCATCCAGGGAGTAACATGGAATGGCGTGGGAGACGAGGTACTCTTCCAGAGCAAAGCTTATTGTTGTTTTCCCAGCACCGGAGAGACCTGCCAGATTAGGCAAGAGACATTGGCATTGCCCCTCGTTGCTTAAAATGATAAATGCTGAACTAATTTGGTACTTTTAATGTAATTAAACTCAATTCCAATCATTTGATTTATCTTAAATCAAAATTATTAAAAACCTAGAAAAAAGTATAAGCCAACTATTTGCATTTATTTTAAGTTTTGAAATAACTCTTTGTCCCCTATTAGGATTTTAGCCTTTCAAAGTTAGTGGAGTAAATAAATAGACCTGAGTGTGGAGGTGACACATCCATCTGATCTGTGGTGTACTCTCTTTTGCCTACAGTGTTTTTGTTGTTATTGTTGTTGTTTGTTTTGGTACCAGGAATTGAACTCAGGACCTTGCACTTTCAAGGCAGGTACAGTACCACTGAGCTAAATCCTGGCCCACCAGAGGGTTTTAAAAATTAGAGAGTTGTACATACAAACCCAGATTCCAGCCCCTCTTGAAAATCAAAGACGTGGTATCACTGGTCTTGGATCACATGGCAACAATTACACAGAGTGGAGGAGACAGAGGAAGGACTTGGGGCTGGAAAGCCCACCTCTCTTGTGGTTGTCACTGAACAGCCATCTGCTATCAAAGCCTGCATGTTATTATTTTGGCTTCCCAGTTTTTTGAAAATGACTCTCCAAACCTGAAGGTGGAGAGTCACCTTGACTAGGCTGTAGAATTATTTAGAGCTTTTGGGAGTGTTTATATTCTTAGGTCTAAAAAAACGCCTTAGGATATTTGCATGAGAATATAGTTACCATGTGCCTTACACCCTGCTGTCAAAGTACAATGACTAGGAATACACTTTACAATTTCCAGATAAGGGAGAATGTACAGGAAAAGGGAAAAATATGATCTGCCAAAATTACTTACAAGCTCACAATCTAAACTACCCTAGAAAAATTGTCCTCTAAAATTCACTTGTCCTAAGGGTCTCTGAACCAGTCGAATATTCCAAGGTGCCAAACCACTGTGAAAAACACCCGTCATGGAAATGGGAAGGTTTGGAGGGAAGAAAAAAAAGACCAAGAAATTCATACAGAGAAGACAGCAGGATGAAAAAGGACAAAAGAGTAAAGAATAAGAGAAAAACAGACACAAAGGACAGTGAGAAAAGGAAACTGGGAAAAAAAGGTAATCAACAAAAGATAAGTAAATAGCTTCTATATTTTTAGGTAAGTTTGAAAGTTATGCCCTTGGCTTTGACAGAGGAACATAACAAGAAGTGGCTAATTAAAGATGTTGGTAAATCATTATAAAAGATGTTTTTAAATGTCAATATGTTGTCAGATTATGTTATCCAGTTTCACTTGAATAAAGATTTGGGTGGTAAATTCCTCTTAGAATTTACGTCCAGTTGAGGGTAGGGACAATGGGCATCTTGAATCTCTAGTATGTTGTCAGAAATATGAAAGAAGACAGCTTTCAGAAAAACAAAGAGCTAAATCTTAGTAATGGTATCTAACTAGACTGCACAATTTTTTTAATATACTATAAGGGTAACAGTAATTACATTTCCTAAGGATTTTATTGTGCACCAGGCACCATGCTAAATGCATTGATGCTTTTTAAAATTTCATTCTACTTACACCTCCACAAGGCAGGTACTAATCCTAATGCTCATTCTACAAAGAAGGAACCTGAGGCATAGAGAGGTAACTGGCTTGTCCAAAGTCACACAGCTAATGTAGGTTGAGCTGGGTCTCAATAAGAATCCCTGGATTTGAAGTATTTTATTTTTTCTGGTCTTTCTGATCAATAGCCTATCTCTGAAAAAAAAAAGTAAACTATAACAATGGGATTTTTTAAGAATAAGAAAAATAAAAGGAAATATATCCTTTATACCCTTCCTTTTCTTCTTTTCAAGGGAGTTCCAATTAAGGAAAATGGACAGTGTGCATATCCCAACACCAAAGTTGTTTTCGTGGGTAAACATCGCATAAAGCCAAACATAACCAGAGGGAGACTTCTGGGACACAGCTGTATCTGCTGCTACAAATCATATCTCTTAGAGGGAGTTGCAGAAAATATCCAAGGAATAATGACAGACGAGTACCATGTGTTTTAGCACAGTAGGCTCCTTGGCCCCCCGTCTACCCTCACCATAGAGGCTGGAGAAAGTCCTTCTGATGAGGAGCCCAGGTACTAATGGAACCAGGAAAACAAAGACACCAGAAAGAAACTTGAAAAACCATAAGAAGAAAAACGCTAATTTGGACAGGAAGGGAAAAGACTTAGAATAACAACAAAAGATTCAAAGCAGGTCTCTGCCTGCCCTATTCTTTAGAATTCTCCTCAGGTTAAAAATAACGTTTGTCTTGGTGAGAAGATAACGGCACCTCCCTTTCTTCATAATCTGGCTAAACATACTTTTGCACTTGGGCGCCTCACCTTTTGAAAAGTAGTGTCCATGAAAGGGATTTGGTTTTTCATGCTGAGTCGAGGGTATGTTAGACTCATTCCCAGGAAGTGGTTTTCTACCTTGTACTCAGAGTGGATAGGTAACAATTTGTGTGAAACACATTTTGAAAAAGACTCAACCCTGCCCCTCCTAATGTAATGTTTTAAATTTCCCCAGATTACCCTGAGCCATTGGCTATAAGTATATATTTTTACAGCTTGAGTATATACTTTGTTCTCATGATAGGGGTTTGGGTCATGATAGGTTCAAATTCTAGTTCTGTCACTATTAGCTTTGGCATTCTGTGGCTATAAAAAATTAGAAAAGAAGATCACTGGGTCACCAGTAGAAGTAAGTTGTTTTTTTTTTTTTTCCTAGGCAAAGGTGAAGATCACTGGGTCACCAGTAGAAGTAAGTTGTTTTTTTTTTTTTTCCTGTAGGCAAAGGGCACTGCTCAGCTAAATGGAAATCTCATTATGCTTCTTGTGCAGATTCTTACAGTATGATTATTTATATTAAAGAAATAGTCTCTTAGATATCAAAATATCAGAAAACAAGAAAAGTATCTCTAAACATCCAAAGCCTTATGGACTGCCAAATGCTTCTCAGCTAATTAGGAAAGCCCTACTCATCACTCCCAGGTATGTTTGTTTAAGGATGAACATGAGAATTACTGAACTTATTAGACTTGAAAGGAGGTGTCACAATTCTGTCCTGCCAAAGAGGAGAGAATTGGCAAGTAGGGGCTTTCAATGACTTCATCAGGCTGTATTCCTGGAGTTGGATCTATTTCTCACTGATAGTAAGATAAGGACTAACATCTAAGCTTTCTACTAAAGCTCTCAGCCTCCCTGTGGTTAAATGAATTGTGTACTGTGTGTCATACATTACACTAATTTTCTTAAAATTGTACATCATATTCTCTTTTAATTAAAGTATATATGTGTATGTGTGTGTGTGTGTGTGTGTGTGTGTGTATATATAGAGAGAGACAGAGACAGACAGACAGAGTTGATATGGAATGCTAATTTTTTCGCTCATTGAGTTTATTGGTACATTCTAGGTATACAGTAGAGTTACATTCATTATTAGGATCTTGTACCTTTACATGACAGGTGGTCTTGGTTCTCATTTTTTTCCCCTTGTCCCTGCCCTCCCTTCACCCCCTCCTCCCCTCCCCATTTACAAACATTTTATTTCCATTTTTTCATTTTGATATGCTAATACACAGTGTGTGTGCATGTGTGTGTGTGTGTGTGTGTGTGTGTGTGTGTGTGTGTGTGTGCGTGCGTGCATGCAATCTCAGTGTGGCATACCTGTCAGCCAAACAGTACATCCTCGGAATCCGCCTCTTGTTCCAACCACCTGCCCTCTCTTACTCCTGCTTACGTGGTGGGCCTGATAGACTACATTGGTGGATTTCTGTTGGTTCTCCTACAAACCAAGACCAAGAGTAATATTTGATTAATAAACTACACATTCTTTACTGTGACAATTTAAATCCATTTTAACTTTTTATTTGAAAAGCTAGTATGTAAAAACTTCTGCAAAACACATTTTTAAAAAGGAAGACTTAAACTTGCCCCTTCTGTTATATATATTTTCTTTTCATTTCCACAGATTACCCTGAGCCATTAGCTACATGCATATGTTTTCATAGCTGGGTGTATATACAGTGACTCTTTATTCTGTTCCTTTCTCTTACTGTGATTCATAAGAATGTTCATTCCCACAAAATAATTATTTTTCAAGTATTGTATGATATTTCATTGGTTGATTCAATACAGTCTGCTTCATAACTAAAATTATAAATGCAATAACAACTTACACTCATAGGTTTCTCCAACTGTATCTCCTCTTTTACAATTGGCAAAGAGAATAATAGTTAATTCTACTAATTTAGAAACAAACACTGCTTCATTAGAATGTCTGCCATGATCCTCTGAAAGTAAAACTGTGATATTTTGATGCTATATGAGTTCTGACTGCCTAAAATTTTAAGCTGTGCACCTTAGATAGTGCTCAGAAGAATGTCTGTAAATGCATGTTCTCCCCACATCCAAAGAACTTGAACATGGGACAACACTAATGCTGCAGCAGCTGAGGAAATCCTAGGTTGTGCTGCTTGAGCCCATCTATGAAGCCAGGAGAAGCCCAGGTCTCAGAGTAAGGGGTGAAAACTAGTTGTGTCTCTGTTGCTCCCACCCAAACAGCTGGACCAGGTAAGGGTTCAGTCCTGAGCTCAGAGGACCACTTCCTTACAAGAACTAAACTTTGCTTCCACTTTCTCTGAGGATGTATGGACTTTCTGATTGTCCAAACAGAATAATTCATCAGAAACAAACATTATCAGTTTTGAGGGCTGAAGTCTAATTTAGTTGTAATGAAGTTGGCCTAGAGAAGTGACAATCTTACTCTGACTGTAAGTTAATATGTCTGATTGAAAAATGGTAAAACTGAGCAAAATACAGTTTTTGATGGACTTTTTAAAAATATAAAAAAAGAAAGATAAAAATATATGATCTATATATTTAAAAGATATGATCTAACTCAAAACCATGGTTAAATAAACAGGTTGGGAACCATATATATCTAGCATGATAGCTGAATCTCTAACAATAGGCACAATCAGGGTTTCTGAACTGTAAAAATCTACAAACCTCTTAAACAACATACATGTACACAGCCATAGATAAGAAAGCACCAATACTTTTTGAACAATACCTAGAGGACATTTTTTAAAAAAATTCTGGCTACACAATAGCAAAATACATTTTCTGGAGCAAGTCATCTCACCTTTTTGTCATCTCCTTTGGGAAAACAAAAAGGGCTACAATTAGGACTATGTGGAGGTTGGCACAAGATAATGTATATGAACATACTGTGTAAAGGGCAAAGTTCTCTACAAATGTGGGTGCCAGTGACTATTACTTACTTAGGACCACACAGGAGTTACTAGAGCCAGACGGTTGGGACCAGAGAAATGGTTTCAAAACTAGGGGCAAAGAGCTTCCGAGAGGATTAAGACAGACAGAACACTAGTGGAGCAGGCCTGCTACTGAGGCAGAGCTCACCACTGAGCACTCAACAGGAATGTGAATTACTGGGGCCAAGATAAAGGTGACTGAAAGCACAGAGGGATCCACCAGTTGGACCTTTTGAGTTCAAGGTCTTAGAGTGGTGGAGACATAGTACAGAACGCAGAGGTTAAGCAGTAGTGATAGCTTCCACTGGAGGATTCGTAAGTGGGGACAAATTACACTACTGTATCCATGAGATATTCTACCAGGATGTTCCTGGGTGAACAAATCCCCTGAAAGTCTGCTGCATTCACGGGTCAAATAAACTATATGGTTCAAAATTAACATTTAACTTTCCCTTTTCTCTATTTCCCTCGCCATCTTCACTTTCTTGTGCCACCAAATTCAAGAATACAGTGTCTGAAAATCAAGTCCAAAAGTCAGTCCATCTGTTCTTTCATTGGTCTTTCAGTAAATATTTATTGAGCTCCTACTACATGCTAGGGCAAACAGGCTTTAGGAATATAGTACTAAACAAAGCAGAATACCTGGCAACGTTTTGGGCAGAAAGAAAGACAAGATTAAGTGACTAACCTCACTCCCTGGGTGCAGGGTGTGTGTGGGGAGTGTGTGTGTGTGTGTGTGTGTGTGTGTGTGTGTGTAAGGCTATGTAAAGAACATCTGCAAGTCAATAAAAAAATCCCATTTTGGGGGCTGGGGATTTAGCTCAGTGGTTCCAGCACCTGCTTCTCAAGTGCAAGGACCCAAGTTTGATCCCCTGTACCAAAAAAACAAACAAACAAAAAAAAACCAACCATTTTTAAAAAATGAGTATAGATTTCAACAATCATAAAGAAAGATATACACTTGCTTGTTAGAGAACTATGACATGCTCCATGTCATCAGTCATCAGAGAAATTCAAATTAAAACCAAAACAAGATGCCCCTGATAACAGCTGATGGGGGCAAAGACGTACTCTCCGATGTCAACAGTAGAGGTGTAAAGGGTACAACCATCCAGGGACAACACTTGGAAGTTTCTCACAAAACAAAATGTTTATCTCCCCTATGACCATCTGTTCTGGAAGATGTACCCCCAAAAAGACTTGTTCAAGAATTTTCTTAGCAACTGTATTTGGCTAACAAAGCAAACCAAACTGGACATCAGTAAGATATACCCCCAAGAAAAACCCCAAAAGTTAAAAAAAAAACCTACTTCAAACTGTAGAAGACTCATAAAATAGAATAATACATGGCAGGCAAAAGAAATGGACTAATGATACATGCCAACACCGATGGCAATGAATGGGAAAATACTATCCCGAGCCAAGGAAACCTCACAGAAAAGCTATGTATGTGTGATTGCATCTATAGAAAACCTCAAAACGAAAACTAATCTCCCACATCAGAACAGCAGCTGATGGCAATTCTCTAGGCCTTGATAAGGGATTAAACAAATAGGCACTTACATTTGCTGACCTTCCTGCAGGTAAACTTTGGATATGTATTTTATTATAGTAAAATTTTACCTCACACACAACATGAGCTATCAGAAAAGGTAAGCAAACAAGAAAATATAAAATAAGATTTCAGCAGTGTTTGGTAGCGCATGCCTATAAACCCAGCACTTGGGGCTGAGGCAGGAGGACTGTGAATTCAAAGTTAGAAAGTCTCACAGAGTGAGACTCGGTCTCAAAAAGCCAAAACAAATAAAAAGATTTCAAGTGGTGTAATTGTCTTTTTCAACACTGTTGCTTTTATGGAGAAGACTGATCTCAACCGCACAGTGGATTAGACTGCAGTTCTGCTGCTCATCTGTGCCCTGAACCCCTATGAAAGCTTAATATGTCTGCAGAGATGGAATTCATCTTTTTTTCTTAAATTATATTTTATTAATTCAGGCAGAGATCCAGACTATACTCTAGGCTCTGCTATTTTTCTCTAAGAATGTGTTATGACTTTGTTAAGTGCCATCCCAACAAGTTTTTAACTTTTAAAAATAGTTTCCAAATAATCACGAAGAATTACTCTAAGAAGTATTATAATTGCATCTTTATCATGGGTTTTCATACAAATTTTCTGTAAGTCTAAAAATGCTTAAACATACAAAATGTCTTCGGATGGCCAGGTACTTGGCTCTCTTGGTTTAGTAAGGTATTTTTCTTTCTATTTATTTCACAATCACTTTGATGTTTTGCTAAAAGCAAACAAAAATAAAATAGAAGCAGATGCTTTGAATATTTGAACTGTGCAGGGTGGAGCAGCCAAAAACTTTTTGCTGAAAGCTTTACGCTATTGAAAGAAAAAGTGGTGGTGTTCTAAGCTTTGGAAAGAAAGTGGCTATCAGGGGGAAAAAAAAGATTCTATAGAAAATAAAACACGTTACAGGGGAGACTGCCTTCATTGTGTGCACATGGGAGCACAAAGACATCCTCAGCAAACTGCCTAACCCTGCCACTTAACAGGAAGTGGCCCAGGAACTACAAAGTTGGTGTCATACTTCAGTGCTAGGACCCCAAGAAAGAACTTGCAAAAAATCCCTACCATTTTCCAAGTCTCTGGCCCAGAAAACTTCCCTCCAACAGGCACTGCGGTGGCATGAGTATGGAGTTGGGAATCATCCAAACCTGGAAGTTAAGCCTATTTTGTAGCTTCCTTGCTCTATGACACAGGGAAATTTATTAATAGAGGAATCTCTATATCTTCCTCTGAAGAATAGGAGTGCAAACACTTGGCTCTGGGTTACTGAAAAGATTAAATAATTATCCATAATCACATAGCAAGGAAATTACAGACACACGGTAGCATGTTGAATCTCATGGGCACAGGTGGTATTTAATCTGGAGAAATGACGGCAGCTTGAAGTCTGAATCATCCATATTGACAAGGAGTCTGGGGATCTGCGTTCTCTTTCAGGTAAGGCTGGGGAGGCAGGACTCATGATCAGATCAGAGAGTGGGCAGGACAGCACTTCATGTGAAATGATGAGTTCCACTCCCGCTCCCCAAGATGTTGCTGTCCTTGTTGCCACTAATGCCCAGTCAGGAAGCATCCCACACCAAGGTGCACCAACTTATAGCCTCCTTATTCTACCCCAAACTCACTCCCTTGTCATGAATATTCTGTTACCCAGTTCAGCTTGCATTTTACTAGAGTCTGGAACCTGTCAAGTGGCCCTGGGTTGCAGTTGTCTTTCTGCAGGACCCACCCTGCTTGCCACTGGTGGAGCAGGAAGGAGAGTGCTGAGGAGGCTTCTGGAACCAGGGTAAGGCACCTTGGGTCATGGCAGACTTTGTGCGCCTAGGAGACAAAACCTAGGGAATTCAGGTGATTTCATGGTAGGGTTGGGCATCCCCAGAGCCAAATCCAAGCTGAGTATCACAGTAAGGAGTGACATGTCAGGAAAACCCCTGA